AATTACTAACACCTAAATTTAGACGGATAACCAACATATTAACAGGTTTAATTTGATTCGAAAAGACTAAATGGCCAAACTATGTTGCATACAATTGGTTAAGTATTGGATTGAACTGGAATAAAATTCATTTTGTTTATTCAATTTGTATTTAGTCTAGCAAATTTGTAATTTGTAGAAATTGAAATTTTAGTTTTGAAAATGTTTAACTAATTGTCTAACTGTTGAGTCAAATATATATTGGTCATATTTAACGAAAACATGTTTTCAAATAAAATATTACATCAATTGAAGTGATCAAAATTGATCCAATCAATTGAACTGAGAATCCATCCTTCACCGGTTGAGTAATTAATTATAGAATTAATTAATTAAAAAATAATTAATTACATCAAAATAAATTTTTATGGACTGTATTGAAGTAGTATTTTCACAAATTTCTAGAGGTGAAATTCCAATAGAAATAACCTTGACTCCATAATAATTGTGAAAAAAAGAAGTTAAAGAAAATAAAATTATGTATTTGAAATACGACCAAAACTATGATAAAACTTTAGCTGCACCAATAATTGGCCAATGAATGATTTCTGTGCCTAATATTAGATTTAGTTTTTGGAACTTTCCAAAGTGATTGCTCAAGCCAAAACAATTTATTCATAATTAGGGTCAGAACAATTTATTTATAATTAGGGTCTCATCAGATTGATTCTAATGAAATTAAAAATAACAATGAAAGTGATATTAGTTATTATAACGATGAAATTAAAATTAATGATAAAAATATAATACAAACACAACCATGACAGTTAAATGAATTGTGATAAAAAAAATTATCATTAAAAATATTAAATTAAAATTTTTATATAATAAAAAATTTAAATTATTTAAAATTATAAAATTAATAAATAATTATTAAATTATTAAATTATTTTATATCAAATAATAGTTTTGATAATAAATAATTAAAATTTATTTATTATATACAATCACATTTTACTTATTTATTTATTATTTTATAATTAGTAAGGATATTTTTATCTTTATAACTAAAATTCAAGGAGAAAAATAGAAAAAAAATGAAAATTAAAAGTCCCAATTCGATAAAGGAACTAGAGCAAAATTGGCGGGTGGCTTACGGTGACCAATCGCGCCATCAACTCCTCGCATTTGGATCTCTTCGATGCGTTTGGCACTATTTTTCATAATAATCGGAATCGCATTAGGGTTTAGTGAAACCCAAACTAGCTCTTAGTTAATTAAACGTTATCCTTGGCGCCAATAGATCTACTCACGGGTTAAATTGTTTATTTAACACACATGTTTGGCTTGATTAGGATTAAGTTTTAGATATAATCTTTTAAATTTGAATTCAGTTTAGCTTGATTTATTATTTAATTAATAAACAAGTTTTTATTTAATTTTAACGTTAAAATATATTTAAAAATATTAAAATTTTAATTAAAGAAAAAAACTTTTAAGCCTCTCCAACTCGATGGATTGAACGAGTCTTGGATATGGTTTTTAGATATCAACACAAAATTATAATATTTTGATTACTAAATTTTAGGAAATTTAATATCATAAATTGTTTATTATTTTTTATTTATATTAAAACATTGCGATTAAATTAAAATAAGTATGCAAATTTTATAAAAATAAAATATTTTCTCTATAGTGTGGAATTAAAATTATGATTTTTTAAAGTAAATTTCAACTCAAAATGATTTATCTAAGATTAATTTGAATAGACAATAAAATTAGTTCTCGTGAGATTGAAAATAATAGTATAAGTAAAATTAATTATTATAGCGATAATACTAAAATCAATAATCGAATATGTATTTAAATACAAAAATAATAGTGATAGTAAGATGAATTACAATAAACAAAAAAATATTATTAAAGACATTAAAAAATTATATTATTAAAATTTTAAATTATTTAACATATATAAAATTAAATAATTGAATAATTATTAAATTGTTTTCATAACAAATAATTTTTTAGTAAATAATTAAAAATAAATAAAAATAATAGTAAAATATAAAATAATACTTTTTATTATTTATGTAGTAATCTATTTTTTAGTTAACTCATCTTATTTATATAATAAAATTTATTTATTTATTAGTTTATTATATAACAACAAGATTTTATTTATTATTAAATTATATAATTAAAAATAAAAATAAAAAATAAATTGTAAAGACATTTTTTATATATCAAAAAAATTTAAGGACAAAAAAAATAATCATCCGCTAAGTAAAAAAGTCTCCAATACTTGATCACCACCGACGAATCGCACCGACATCCATTTGTACGTTGCACGAATTTGATCAATCTTTCTTAAACTTGAAATGATTGAGGGAAAAGTCCTATTTGTTGACAATCTTCCTCAATCATCAACCATCTCTTGTAAACTGATCACAGTACAAGAGTTATGAGTTAGAAAGTAAAATCATATATGAGTACAATAATTTTTAAATTGTTTCTAGATATGAAATTCTTAACTCTTAAATTTTTTTATATATCAAGTAATATTTACTTAATTTCTATAAGTCTCAAATAAATTTATTACCAAATATTTCGAGATTTTAATTAGTATTTTTAATAATCTATATCTTGACTTAAATTTTATTAAAATATTAATTTTCATAAAATTATTAAATTTTCACTTGCAACGGATGTCACGTAATATATATTTTTTTATCTTAACCAAACGACATCATAATCATCAAATATCGATGCGAATTTAATCTTTGTACCTCTTGTTATGATTTCTTCCATCTCTAATATTGTTATTAGATCAAATGCTCCATCAAGCAAGAGACACCAAATAATCAAATACAAACAACAAAATCTCACTTTCACTAACAAACTTTCAAATTACACTAAAAGAGCAATATGGTAATAACAGTAATTAGTGATTTATGATTAGTTTTTGAAGCTATGCTGAATCTTTTGGTACGTTGGAGTGTATCAATGATATTTACTAACTTAGATTATTGTTAATGGTGTTTTCTTTGACTTTTTAATTGCTAGCTTCGTAACTTTTTAATTGCTTTAATAAATTTGGCTTACCAAAAAAAAAATTCTAATTCCTTTTCCATCTCACCAATCTCTCTTGTAATCTCACATACACAAAACTCATTAGACCCCATTCTTTCTCTCATTATATGAAGGTGTCTTATGAGAATAAAATATATTCCTCCAGTTAAAGTATACAGAAATAGCTATTGCTATACATTTTGTTCATACTTATGATTAATTTTTTAATCATGTTCTTGTTTCTTGGAGAATGGTTTCTTAGCCATTAAAATTTCTCCACCTTCGTATTCCCTTTTTTATAAGGCTTTGGTCTCGTATTTATTTTTATTAAAATGATGTTATCTCACATCTGTTAAATATTAAAATTTTTGTGATTTTATATTCAAGTTGAATCTTTTTATTTATTGATAATTGATTTTAAATTAAATGCCTAATATAATATCAGAACATATACTTTTCATTTTTCTCTAAAATCTTACTTAGAGGTATTTGTTTATTTTTAATCTTACACAAACAACTTTTTTTTTTTTAAATTTAGTTTAGTTGGAATAAACCTGCAAACTGCGCGTGTCGATTTATTTTCATTGGAGAATGGTAAACACAGCTCAAGTACTGATGAGTTTTCGGATGATCTTAATGCAGTTTTAGACCAAGATATATAATTATGATGAAGAAAAAGTAAAAAAAAAAAATGCAATTTTTTTTTCAATGTTTACGATGATTGATTTCTTCTTTCATGTTTAGGATGTTTGTTTTTGGTTTTAGGTTTAAGTATTGAAGTGACCATCGTAAATTCAATTTAACCTTTGTTAATTTTTTATTAAGAAAAAGTACATTTGTCCAATTAAAATATTTTAGGTATTTTTTATTTATAAATTAAAATATAAACTTTTGTGGTTATGGTTATACCATGTCAAGTTGTTTCAGTCGACCATTTGGCTGTATGATAAAATGCATGTCCTGACTCAAATAGTTGTATTCGATTCTTTGGTGTCAATAAAAAACAAGATTAAGTACAAAATTTTCATTCTATTGGTGTGAGTGCTTCAAATTTATCACTAATATTTCAATTAATGTAATTTTACCATTCTAATTTTAAAATGGAATAAATTTCTTATCATATTTGTCGTAAAGAATTTTGGTTCGTAATCATTAAGCTTAAGAAAGTAGAATTATTATCAATTTTTTTTTATCAATGTGTGATTGGTTATTTATTTATTTTGATTATTTTAAAAAATCTTTATTTAATAAAAATAATTTTAAATTATGTCAACTCTTCAGTAAAATCTAAAAATATTTTTACTTGCAATAATTAAAAAAATTAAACATTTTCAATTTTCCTTAAAAATTACATTTCAAAAGTTTATCAAACAATCATCTATTTATTACTTGTATTTATTTTTATATTTATTGATACTAATTTAATTTTCCATAAAACAACATAAAATTTTTATGACTAAAACATATATAAACTAAATACAACTTTATTACAATTAACATTTTATTTTGATGATTTAGTTAAATTGATTATTTTAAAAAATCTATATCCAGTAAAAGTAATTTTTTAATAAATCCAAAAAAAAATCCTCATAATAAATAAAGACAAATGAACTCTGAATATTACATTTCAATTGATTTGTCAAACAATCAATTATTCATTATCACATGTGATTTTACACAAATTAATATTGGGCTCTTGAAAATTGGATTGCAAAAATTAATTGGGCTCAACAACATATTGGCCCATGCGAAAAAAGCCGAATTACCTAAAAATAATTAATAATTAAAGAATACTACTCAAATACCAATACAAGTTTACCAGATCAAAAATAAAATTTCAAAGTACCCGCACAGATATTATAGTTGAATCTAGAGAGTAATTAAACAAAAATTGATAAAAGGTGAAATGCATGTGTCATTGTCGTGATATAAAGTAAGCACAAAGTATTTATTCCTAATTTGCCAACCACACAAACTTCAACAAGGACACAGAATTACAGATTCTTAAATATTGGACTGCCCACAGGAAAGTTTCGACCTACTTTCCGTCATATACCCATTCATTTATTTTGAAGACGAGGCATATTGGCATCTAATGGTCAGGATGAACTCCTCAGTCCTGTGGATGCTTGGAAACTCAAGCCAGATCCTTCAAATTTTTCTCCAATGATCTTTTCCAAACGTTCTACCATGGAAGGAGTTAGGTGATTGACCCAATCACCTACCTCACCTTTCCTAAAATAGGATTTATTGTCGAAATTTGGCATGAATTTGCCTGTTTTGTTCACCTCCAAATCTTTCAAGCTGCTCAAACTACATTGTTTAGAAATTTCTTCAATCACGCCTTCTTTCTCTTCCTCCATTGAAAATGGAAACCCTATGAAATCTGCCAACCTTTTCAAGTGGGAATCAGTGTCTTCCTTCAAGTCCTCATACTTCAAAAACAAAACTTTGCTTGGATTCTCCAGGCTCTCTTTCCAATACCCTAACACATGGTCCCAAAACGATCCGAACCCTTCAATACCTTTGCAGAAGCTACCAACAAAGTCCTCCATTGACCTTTCCAAGCTATTCCGACCTCGAGCTGCAAAGTGCCAAGAAGAAACCACAACATCAAAAGGATTTCGGCAAATGTAAACAATTCGGGTGTTATTACATCCCTTAATCGATACAGGCAAAGATGCATATGGAATGTGAGTTGAAAAGAGCCTTGGAGATTCAATAGAAGAAAGGTCAGGAAGTTCTTTTTTGTCATAGAGAGTGAACTCGATAAAGGGTACGAGTTCGTGAGGATTTGTAGTAAGCAATGGACTGGTTGAATAATTTGTGTAACGAGAACGATTGACTATGGAGAATATCAGGGCCTTAAGCCAAGTTGTGCCTGATTTTGGCCTAGAGACAAGGATAATATCAAGATCCTGAGCTTGGAAATGTCGTTGAAAGGTGATAATGTTACGAAGAATCTTGGATGGATACCAACAGCCGTTGTAGAGAAATAGGCCACCAGCTAACCATCCTTGCTCTTTCGGCAGGGAAAGAAGTAATTCCTCAATTTCTTGGTCTGAAGGCGAAGGGCTAGTTTTGGAGTGTTCCATCAAGGTGATTTGTCAGACTTATCTGATAGCCACTGGCTTTGTATATTTCTCTATCTCAAACCTCATACCAAAGCTCACCAAATATAAAATGCTTACGGTAAAATAAAAAAGAAAAAGAATGTGTACAAAAAAAAAAGGAATATAATCAATTTAAAGTGCTTAATTGATGGAAATAAGTCATGTACCAAAAAGAAAAAGAAAGGCAAAAAATGTAACCAAAGGTAAAGTGTTTATTAAAAGAAAGGGTATGAAAAAGAAAAGAAAAAGAATGCATGTAACAAATATTAGAATTTTTTGTAAATGAACGACTATTAATTTTTTATTTTAATAATTTAATGAAACTAGCTGAAAAGTTTAGTTCTAATTGAAGACAAGCTTGAAAGCCCAAATAATTTAAAGTGATTATTTATGTATGGATTTTACCAGTCATACTAAGTGTGATTTAGCACTTGTATAAATTTTTTACCCAATAAGCTTTTTGATGAGGAGGCTCCTAATGTTTTAATAATAGCAAGCTAAGGTTTCCTTTTCATTTCCATCAATTGCAGTTATTACCCATTGAGAACCACAAGTATACAAATAAAATTTTAATTATCTAAATCCAAAATCAATCAATAAAATTATACAAATATACAATTTTACAAGTTGTGTTAAAAATTATATATATATATATATATATAAATTATTAACACAACTTTGATTCTCCAAAACTCTATCACTGCTTTAAAGTGCTAAGTTTTTATATATTTTCAAAATTATTCATTATATTTAAATTTTACCTTTCCATCTTAAAGTTACAAAAGATATATGACAAAGTAATATAATTTTTATTTTTAAAATTTTTTTTATATTTGATATTATTAGGATTTAAACTTTAATGATTAGAATTAAAAATTCTATACTTTATGATTTAATTTATTTTTTATTTTTTAATTTTATGAACAAAATTTATATTTTTTTAAATGTTTTAATTTTTTTCTGCAAATACATCAATGATAAAAATATTTTTCATCCTTTTATTTTTTTTCCTTTCAATTTTATGTCTTTTCATTTTTTATTCATCATATCAAGCAAGGCTTTAATTATTTCTTTATCCAATTGCAAATTATTCCAACACTAAGAAAAGTTGTAGCCACAATAATGGTACGTACTGACTAGTTTTGCTATTAAACCTATTATTATTTTAAAGAACAAAAATATTGTGACCACACATAAAGGTGCACACTAGCTTTCATTTGGTCCTTTTCCAATTGACAACTCAATACAGGTTGGCCCTTGGGACTTGGTGGTCCTACTGACACGATTATGTCTTCTTTGAAACTATCTGGTTACTTGAGGCATCATTTCGACAACAAAAATGTCTATTCTAATTGAGCTGAGTTTATGGCAATCCATTAAGCACTTTCAACTTTTTAAATGGGGCTTTAAAAAAAAAAAAACTTATTTTTCTTATAAATCTCATTCATCTAGAACTTTGAAGTTGAAATTTTCAAGATAAAAAATTATTTTTTTATCTACAAAATTTTAAAATGAAGAGGGAATAATTTGGTTGGAACCGAACTTCATGTCTTATTTAAGATTCTTTTATCATTAAATCAAGAACTGAAAGATAAAATATCAAATTCCATATATGCTTTTGGAACATGATAAAACTTTACATTGTCGTAATTTGCTTTTAAACTTTGATGGGTCCTTCAAAAATCCCTCCTATGGAGCAACTAATTAAAGTTTCAATGCCAATAGGCCACCAAATGTACTAAAGAAACCTCAATACGCGTGCTTTGCTTTAAAAAAAACTCAATATGCGTGCTTTGCTTTTATATATAATAAAATTAATATCACATTGTAGAGTAATACCTTTTGTTTTGGTATACATATATATTTTAATTTGCAAAGAAAGAGATTCGAATCCAATTTTTTATTCGAGAAATACATACACCAAAGGGGCATAAGATTTATAGATTTTAAGATCAAGAAGGAAAGTGATTCAAGAGGAAATGATATTGAAAGAGAATATGTAATTTTTGAGTTTTATTAACCTAAAAAATATAAGATTTTTGTACTTGATTTAGAAGAAAATAAGATTACCTAATAAAATTTTTTACCAAATTATTCTTGATGACATTTAAATAAAAAGTAGCATTCATAATAAGTTACACATGAATAACATATTATTTTTGTTGAAATTAAAAAAGCTTGAAAATATTTTTCATATTTAAAATAATATAGTCTTACAATCTTAATTACTATTCTTACGTTAATTGTTTCTGCACAAAGAAAATATGCAAATTGATCTTAAATTTTATAAGTAATAATATTTAGTAAAGAAATTTTATGTTCTATTTTAATTTTGTTACAAGTAGCAATATCCACTACGTTTTTTTTTTTTATTATTTTAAAAGCATTATCTTCATTAAAATTTCATAATTTTAAAAATAAAGTTTCAACATTTATTACATTTATTTTCTTAAAAGCGCAATCTTTGTTAAAATTTTATCATTTAAAAAATATAACTTTAACATCCATTACGTTTTTTATCTTAAAAATGTGATCTTTATTAAAATTTTAGAATTTAAAAAATAGAGTTTCATTATCCATTACATTTTTTAGCTTAAAAATGCAGTCTTTATTAAAATATCAAATTTTCAAAAATATAATTTCAACATCCACTATATTTTTTATCTTAAAAATACAGTACTGGTTGAAATTATAAATATCAGCAATTACATTTTCTTTGTAAATTTAGGAGACTAGAAAGGATAATATAGTTTGAAAATAGAATTAAGTGAGGGTAAATGAGGTAAAATTTTTATTTTCCTTTCGGAATCTAAAAACCCTAAAAAAGATAAGAGTTTTTATTCCCCCTATTTTTCACTTTTTTGATACCATTAAGAATCTTAAAAAATCTTAGGAGTCACATTCCGTAAACTAAACTAAATAATTAAATTACAAAAAATAAGATTTCAACAAAAAATATTACTTTCCCTTGAATTAAACGTCCCTCAATACTGTAATTATACTTGAGCATGTTACATATAAATTTAGACTATATAATAGTGGTTGTATTTTCTTATTCCATTAAACTCTTATAAGTCTCCTTGTTTCATTTCAAGACAAAATCAAACATGGTTTATTACTTTAATCATTTCTAAATTAGTTGTGACCATCACTAGGCACAGTTTATTATTTAGAACTACATTAGCATTACTATTGAAATTAGTTTTTGCATTCAAATTTTGTTTTTGACCTAATTTCAATATTAAACAATAAAAAATATAATTTTTTCGTTTAAAAGTCTGGTTTTTAAACACCAAGCAAAAAGCTTTTTAAGAGCTGTTTTTGGGGTGAAAAAATGTGTTTGGGATAAAAAAATCACTATATTACCCCTATATTTCTAATAATTTATTATTTTATACATATATTTTTTAAATATTTTAATTACTCACGGTTAGAAATGTTTTCAAAATACGAACATAATTTGATTAAGTAAAAACTTAGTTATAAGAGAAATCAAATTTAAGCTATTTAATAGCTTAAAGTAATGTTCCATGGGAAAGAAGGATTGATTCAAAACTTAAAAGATCAATGAAAGTTAACATACTATAGGAGCAGTTGATTGTTTTATCAAGAGTAGTTGATTGTCTTAGCAAGAGCAGTCAATTGCCTTGTTCTTAACTAGAGGACCAGTCGATTGCTTATGATAAACAAGTAAACTGTTTTGAATTTTATCTATATTTAATAAAAAATTTAATTTTTTTATTTTAATAAGGGTAGAGATAGATATTATATTGTACATATAAAAATAAAAGATAGATATGATTTTATTTTTGTATATGATGATGAAAATGAGAATGGATAATATAACACATGTTTCGTATTTGTACCCTACATATATATTTATATATATTTAGTATATAAAATTTTTTATTAAATAATATAAATTATTATTTTAGATTAATTAACATTAATATATTTTTATTAAAAAATATATATTAATATATATATATATAAATTACTTAAAATATACAAAATAAAAATAAAAAAACGCTAAAAAATTTTAGTTTTTGTTATTATTATCATAATATATAGATCCATGGACTTACCGCTCGACATGGTTTAAAAGAGTCATCATCAATCTTTTTTATTAGGGTGTAATTGGCCATCGGACATAATTTATCCTACTTAAAGAGGAATCTCAAAATTGTCCTAGGTATCTTTAAATAGTAGATTCTAGTCTACGAAACTAGATTTTAGGTTTAGGTGTACGATTACGTGTGAGGAAGGTTATAGCACCCTCATAGCGCCCATTTAAAAGATAGTATCGATTTGATTTCAGATTATCCAAGCCTTAAACTTGTTTATAATTTACCAAAATATTTACTATTGAAAAATTAATCTTAAGATTACTCTAATAGTTTGGTAATAATTTAAAATAATTTTCTCACATTAGGAGTATTCATAGAGACTGGTGTCCTACCTTGAAGAAGCTTTGTCATTGGATTTATTAATGTATTTTACTTAAGAAAATAATTAATAAAATCCTCCAATTGTTTGGAAGGATTTATTTTTATGTAAATTTCCTAATAGTTTGATGAGATTTTATTGTAAAATATTTATAATATTTTACTTTTGAGAAAATTCATTAAATCTTCCAGTAGTTTGGTAAAATTTAACTTAAGATGCAATCCTCTAATGGTTTGATAGGATAAAATACAAATATTTTTATTAACACTTTTGTTTTTGAAAATTGATTTATGATATTTTTCAATAATTTGGTAAAATTCAAAAAATTTAAATTCATGAAAAATCCTCCAATAATTTGGTAGAATTCATGAATTGATTTGAAAAGAGAGTTTTTTTTTTTAATTTTTTAGAAATAAAATAATAAAAAGTAATTTTACAAAAGTATTTAAAGAGTAATAAATTGCTTAATTTAAAATTAGTACAATAATAATGACAAATAAAATAAAAATAAAAATAAAAAAACTAAAATAAGAAAATTACAAAAATAAAATTAGAAAATGAAAATAAAAAAGAAAAAGAAAAACCTACGATCGGGTCGAGTTGCTCCATGGGCAGCGCGCGGATCCTAAACGGGTTCACGTGAATCTTGTGCTAAATAAAACGGCGTTGTTTGATGCTGGTATAAGCTTTTCTTCAGAAACCTTTGGTCTTCTCTCTCTCTAGCCAGAATTCGCTCTGTCTTTTCTTCAAAAAACCCTAAAACAAGCCACCGAAAACTGGGTAACTCGTTGGTTTTTGGAAATGTCGCTAGAATCTAGTCAAAAAATTTAAACTCTACTAAAAAATTTAATCGAAAAATTCAAACATTCAAACCAAAAACCTAATTTTTCTAGATTTTCCTAGATTTTTCCAAAAATTTCCTAAAAATTCAACCCAAGTCTAGAAATTCAAACTTAAAACCTAGAATCCTAGAAATATCAAACCCAAAAACTTTAAACCCAAAAATTCAAAACCCATAA